CAGGCAACCAGCAAAATACATGATGGCACAGTTTTCCAAGTTTTCTTCCTGATTACTTGACACTGATGAATCGGAATCAGACAATGGGTTTGAAGAAAAGCTGTTACTGTTAATAACTTCTTCAAATTCATCTTGGGAAGTTGCCATGGCAGTTACTGATTCATTTACATTTTCAATACGTATGTCAGTTTCAAAAAATCAATACTTCAACCTGCTTCCAACCAATGAGCGGAGCGTAACCCATCGTGCCAGTTCATTCATTTGGGTTATTTCAAGGTCATCATATAAGTTTCACTATTTCATTCATAAATACTCCAAGTGAAAACTCTTTCCCCTCTCCTCTTTGACAAGAGGGTCGAAAGAAGCAGCGAAACTCGAATATACATAACCACAAAATCGGCAGAAAACGCTGCTGCGATTGATCCGAAGATGATCGGACATCGTCGGATTCAGAGATGGCTGCGAATCCCCGGCTAAGTTCACTCCATGGAATTCTAGCAACTAGAGACATCTATATTTGAATTCCAAAAGCTACTTGGAATGTATGGCCAAATTTTATACAGGAAAGATGTATCTTAGTGGGTGACTGATCTCTGTTTGTAGTCCCAGTAGGTCTACAACAATTTCTCAGTGGAAATACCAAAATAATTGGAGTCAACTAAATCATCATTAACCTACAGACAGAATCATTAACATTATTGATATATGACCAATAATGAATTGATAACTTCATTATACCCTTCTGTGTTTTCAACAACATTGGCTGATATCTTACTATCATCAAAAAGCGCAGCGTCGTTCGGCTTTATCTATGGTGTATTAGCTATATCATCTTGTTAATTTTACATCAACTAATTGTATTTTTTGTTATATTCTGCTGATAGACTTCTATAAGTTCAAATAACTCATTGCTATTTTTGAAGGGCATTCCAGTTGTTTCATCAATAATTAAAACTTGCAAATTGATAACTAATGCCATTAACAACAAAATCGGAAGTTATAGTAGTAGAAGTATCATAAGAATATTGATGAAATCATTTGAATGTTTTCAAGAATAAAAGAAGTTGTTGAAAGTGACAACTCATTAACAATACCCCTAGTGTACAGATTACTATGAAAAGGGACGACACGGCAGGTATATTTGAACCATCAATGCTACTATCTACCTATAATAATATTCATATACCTAATTACTTGATTTTTTAAATTTTACTGTTGAAATTAACATTGGAAAACCATTTAAGATATTCAAAATTAACCAGGGCACCAGGAAGGGAAACGATCAACACACGGAACATATTCGCATTAGTTAGGTAGTAATTTTAAACCACTTAGTATTATCGGATATACGCTTCAAAAACGTAAACAGCTGCTTCTAATTTTAGACAAGGCCAAGGTCAAGATTCACGTTCGCGGATTGGTCGATTACATGCAGTAAATACACACTAGATAAACAAAATTGTGTTGTTCCATTATATTATTAGGATATTCTAGGAGTATTTTTGTGAATATAATATTATGTATTGGTATACACGAACCACCGCGAAAAATATGTTTACGATGTTTAAATCGGAGCTCAGCTCAACGAGAAATTTGTTAGGTTAGCTGATAATGCTAAGGTTTCATTGAATTTCTATGCACTTATGCATACTGAATGTGCCTATAACAATAACAAATCATACCTATACATGCATTCTACGGCATGCGTTGTCGGCTATAACATAAATTAAAAAGACCAATACCAATGCAAGTTTAACAAAGTTAATTTTGTAAAGGTTGCATTGCTTTTATGTGTCATGCATTTTTTGTAAGACATCTCCACTTTGAAATTCCTTATATTTTATACCAATGAAAATCTCCTAAGGAATCTATAATTGAGCGATCTTCAGGAAATACCTGGAACATTCAGGTATTATGAACGATAGGCAAAATGGCTTCCCTCATCAGAGATCAACTGGTGACCTGCTCGCTAACGTCTCACATATATGGCAGCAATCTATTGAAAAATATGGTGAAACCTCAGCCGTGGCACTCGATATCTCCAAGACATTCGATAGAGTCTGGCACCACATACTCCTCGCCAAGCTTCCATCTTATGGCTTGCCTCCCCAGCTATGTTCTCCGCTAGCTAGTCAATTCTAGCTCCAACACTATTCCTTCTCCATATCAACGATTTGTTGGAAGCACCTTCATGTCCAGTACACCAGCTTCGCGAATGATAGTACCCTCCATACCGACTTCTCTTCCAGGGCTGCAATACCAGCCAGGCAAATCAGAAACGAATGAGGAAGAAATGTTGACAACATGAATATGGACTTGGCAACAATTCTCGAATGGAGATCCAATATCTTGGTAGATTTCAATGCAAACAAAACACAAGCATGCCTTTTCTCAAGAGAAGCCGATCTCATTGTGCCCAACATAAGCTTGTCAGGAGTAACCATACCTTTGAAGACAGTCAGCTGCTTTTATGCTCTTCTGAAATATCAACAATTGTTACTCCCTTGGCAGTCCCCGAGAGATAAGCCCGTCGAGTTGAGGCTTCGCACCCCTTCGTCGTCACTTTGGAGACCTGCAGAACATCTCTTTCCAAAGACTCGTTCATCCAACGAACAGCGAGGCTCTGGAACACAGTGCCAAAGGAGGTGTTCCCCGAGGCATATAACCTCCAGAAATTTAAGAAGAACACCAATTCTGCTAAACTCATAGCAACAAGATTTTGTAGTTTTCCACTATCTTGACACCTTCGACTGTCACTTGCGTGATGCGTATTTTTTAACATTTCACATACATTTTCATTCAACGTCAGTGTGAGTCAAACTTCGGGATCAAAAGAACAATTATGTTTCTGGTAGGCGAAAAACAGTCGTGTGTCACACATATCATATCCCGTTATCCCACAAATTGAGAGATTTTGTGTATGGAGCACATTTTCATTTTAGCTATGTCAAGTGTAGAACAACAGGGGTCTTGTCCCCAATTTCATTTTGATCCTCTGATCCAATATTCATGTATTTATTTCAATGTCACCTTATACAGAATTGAGTTAATCGAATGTATATGGAACCATCCATATATCTCAGTAACCAGTCGTTAGATCTTTCTGAATTTTTATACATGATGAATTGGAAATGTTTCAGTTCAGATCTTGATGAGCTTGGAACTTCTGAAAAAATCATTCGTTTCAGTGATATGGGAATTATATGTCTCACAAATAGGTTATATGACTTCACTCGAGTAAAACTCATTTCGGATATGTAATCCTCATCAGTAACCTGAAGTCCAGTTATTCTTTCAGTCCTTCTTCATGATATACACAATTTTCATCTCCCTATAATATAACGAAAACTATAACAAACTGGGCATTTTAGAATTTCTTTCATACATCATACTCATGTGTTAATTAAAGAGATATAAGAGATAAATAAAAACAGCCCATTCAACCCACCCATTCATCCATCCATTGGAGATCCTCCGCGCCAAAAACCAACCCCCTCCCCTTTTCTCCTGACCCGCGGCGCGTCCCTCCGCAGGCACGGCGTCACGACGCCGCGGTCACGGCCGACGGAGAGTGAAACCTCGACGACGACGGCGACGCCTGCGTCCCCGGGCGAAAGTGAAACCTGCGACGCCGCCTCCCCACCACCGGCGCCGCCACCACCACACACAGTTACACGCGGGACGACGTCTAGGGCGAGCGCCGTATGAGGAGTAGAGTTTATCCGAATAAAAATAGTATGGTATTTATGCACAAGGGCGAATACGCCAAATGACGCTTGAGAAAAACTGTTCCAGATCACATTAGCAAGGTGCTGGAAAAAAGTTTACAATTTGGTGGGTTATTTTGGCTGGTGAACATAATTCCCCTGTAATAAAATTGAAGAAAAGTTGAAAATATCGTTATAAAACACATTTTTCTGCAACCGACACGAAAGTCGGCCATTTTAATACCAAAATTAGCTCTTGAATTGACGTTTCTATTACTGACAAAGTTGAACTTTACCTCCTAGGAACCGAGCTAGGAACTAACAAGGATGTACTAGACGTCATCAAGAATAAACAACATTATTTGGGTTGGGACGCATACCTGATTTGTTCCCGATCTAGGCAGATTTGGCATTTCATACCCATGATGGAGATATAAATACACCTTATTATAGATAAGTATTGGAATTACAAATATTTCAGTGCAGTATTTTTGTTTTGATCATTCGTTATTCTCGGGATGGATAACTTGTTATTGAATAATCACGGCAAGCAATAGTTTTTTGTCTCAAACAACGATATTGTTTACCCCCATTTGATTATTAAGACAAACACAGCTGATCACTATCAATATTGTTGATACCTATGCTCACTAACCTAACTTTTTCCACGTTTTGTTCCTATACCTGACACTAGCGCGGTATTTGCCATTAGAGCACCTGGTCCATACGCAAATATGTCACTCTATGGTTGTATTCATATTGAATAAACTACAATTCGAACATCCTCAAAAATTGAATAAACCTGCTATGTTGATGCAGGTAGAATATTCTCACCACGTACGGATTATTTATTTATTGCATTGCATACATATGGCACGGCATAGGTGGTTACTTCACATATTTATTTGAGTTAATTGTTTCAGTTGCACGAAAAATAGCATCTTTCATTCGGATCAAAAGTGACTCTTAAAATAATTTACAATGAGAATAATATCTAGTTCAGATGAACGAGAAACTCTAGCTCACCAGCTGATCAACTGCTGCTGATTACTGATCAAAGTTATGAAAACATTTTCCGAAATACAGCACTGTATTTTTGATTTTAAATCACAGATTTACTGACAGTACTGACCAGTTGAATTCGGAATATAGTCTCTGGTTCGTGCAAACTCGACTCCTCACCTGGCGCTCGCCCCAGACCCTACTCCGCACACAGCCACCGCTACCCCTACCTTTCGCTTTCCTCGCGCTTCTCTCGATCCCAGCGCGCCACGACTTTCTCTCCACTCGACTAGTAGTAGTAGGCCTGCGAACCGGCAACCACGAAGGTCATCAACGGCTCCACACCGACAACCAACTTTCCGACACCCCCCACATGGCCCCGCGCAGGCACTTGGGCCCAACGCCTGCCCTCATGGGCCTCGAGGCCCTCGAAGAGGCCGGCGTGACCAGGTGCTGTGTGCCCTCGGGCGACTGTCTGCGCGCCCAACAGGCCCTCAACGACAACGACCACGTGCTCATCTGCCTGGACGATCTGCGGGACACTGTGCGCGTCACGTGCAACAACGACGGCTGCCACTCGGGCCGGTACATGCACCGCGAGTGCTTCGACCAATGGGAGCAGACGGTCCTGGCGTACCTCAAGACCTGCGGCAGGGCCAGGTCCTGGTCGGAGCGCCAGCGCCACCAGAACCTCTGGACGAAAAAGGGGTACGACCTGGCGTACAAGGCTTGTGCGTGCAAGTGCGGGCGAGGGCACCTGAAAAAAGACTTGGACTGGATGCCACCGCCTCCGACGAGCCGTATCTTCGGCAGGCTCGAGGACATGGACGCTAGTAAGAAGAAGAAGCGGAAAAGCAAGCCGCAGAGACCGAGTTTGAGTATCAATACTAATGGACATGGCATGGGGAGCGAGATCAGAGCGAGAGCGGGTAGTTTGTCTTGTTCCAGCACTGGCTCTTCGAGTCCACCTTCCTCGGGCAGCGAGCCCAGTGTTTCTCCCATTCACGGGCATTGCAAGAGGAAGAACAAGATGGAATTGAACGAGAGGATTCGGTGAGTTGCTTTGTGATGCGAGGTTGTATTGATGACGGTCTGGCGAGAGGTCTACGTGACTTTTATCAACGTATCAACAAAACAAACATGCCTGCGCTTTCCTGTATGTTTGTGTTCCGTAATTACCTACTTGTTTTCGTTGGCTCACATTTTATTCGAGGATGAGTCAAACCTATACAGGTTGAATGCAAAAATGTTGGGTACACTTCCTCCTACTCTTTTATACACGACAGTAGATTTGAAGATATACAAGCAATCCAAAAGAATGAGTTCCACTTTATAGGTATACTCCAGAATAGGAGTAAATTCTTTCCGAATATTTGGAATACACGGATACGGATGGACAAGTGGAAGATTTGGAAAATGATTCCTTGTCATATTTTAGCAAAAAAGACAATGTGCTCTAAGTTGCTTCGTTTTTGAGATACAACAGAATATTAATGTTGAAAATATTAAGGTTAATCAGGAGCAGATTCGTTACCAAAACGACCAAGGCTAAGTAAGAATTTTATATTTTTCAATATATCGATCTATACCTATATGACTCTTCTTCGAACAATTTTTGGAAACAAATTGTCACTGACAATCGAATCCATTTTTTATGCACTCTATCAGGGAGATTTTTGAACGCAGTGACATTCTGGGACAAGTCATCCGACATTTGTCCTCACTACTTCATGCACGTTATATATTGAAAATCCCAAAAAATCTAGTAAAACTGGAAATATTAATTATTGTTTTTTATAACCCCTCTGGATTTTTCGATTATCTTGCATTCATTTACAGTGACAATTCAACTCATGTATTAAAAATCTCAAACTGCTGGGATTTTGTCATTATGACAGCGAAAAAACTTCCTCAACTTTTCCAGCGATAAATCAACTCCTCCTCGTTGATTTGTCTTGCCGAAAAATACTTGAATTTATTTATTAATTGGATGAATTATAAATTTCCTCACTAACTCAAACGTTCTCCATCAGTAATTTCTCTCAAAAAACTGACAGTAGACAAAAATTTTTCATGTCAGTTTTTCTCGTTGAATTACTTATTGGCAAATGTTTTTCCTTAGGAAGAGCTTTTGTGTTTTTAGTGGAACGGAACCTAAATTTTGAAACCATGAAAGAATCTTTAATGGTGTTTATGTCAATAATCGTGTCAATCTTTTCAATCTTGCGCTATCAAAATAGTATCTATCCAATGTGTTGAAATTGGGAGTGGAGAAATTAAAAAATCCATCTACAATAATGTGATTTGCGCATTCATTAAATTGTCATACCGAATTAAACTCAGGCATTTTTGGGTCGAAACAAACTTAACATTTTTTATAATTCCAGTTTTGTTGCCTTTCGGAAATTTAATTCTCGTAATTTTTTCAAAGTCAATTTTTGTCGTTTAATTTCCAAGCAACAAAAGTCAAACCCATCTGATTAAGGGGTCATTATCACAACATTTGTAAAAGCAAAGCCCGATTAAATTGAGATGAATAACGATAATCATTGTTCGTGAATTATCGAGTGAATTATGTTATCATTCTGATAATCTAGCTAGCACGCTTCATTCCGAAATAAATTACCCAATAAAAATCCATTTACTTCGTTTGTTTCGACGCTGTTGTGGGTGGTCAAGTTCAGGGTCAACTTTATTTAGGAACAGCAAAGGTGTTTCCACAATGTTACTCAATAATAAGATTGTAATACAGCAACCAGCGACTTTACCTACCGGTTCACATTGAAATTGATTCATAACATCACGCAAGGTATACTTTGATTGAATTATTGAGTACATAGATTAACGACTCCCTTGAGTATAAGGGTTGGGCATATGTGTGGAAACAATTTCTGACTCAACCAGAAATATATTTTTTTTATCAACTCAAATTTTTTTCAGTTCTACTTCTACTCAGTGGCGCAGTCACCATTTTTTCAAATATATCACCCTGTATGAAGATATTTTTTCAGCTGACTGATGCGCCATATTTACAACGAGATTTACAACAATATGATATCTGCCAAAAATAAACATTGGCCACTGAGTAGAACAGAAAAAATAATACAGAAAAAATGACTATTATTTCTGGTTTAGTCAGAAATTAGTTTAATCTCGGATTAATCAGAATATAATATGTTACTTATTTTCAAATCATCTTGTATGGGTGATAATAAAACCTATCTCGAAAAAAATCGGATTGAAGACAACAACATATAGATAACAAAAGGTACTTAAATAATTATTTTTATACCACACTCTAAACAGTTCCCAACCTACAGCACACTGCGATATCAATAATGACTTTGTATAGATAATAAATATTATAATTGTCCATTATAATCTTCCTGATAAGAATATTTCTCGATAACCCTGAGAGAAAAAAATATGAAGAATACAATGCATATACTGATGAAGAGCATATAGAATAAAAACAATATAATAATCATTCAGATTCAGTACGAAATGAAGAAATTCTTGATATTATTCATTTCTCAGGAATTGACTTCATAATAATATTCATTGTATTTTCAGCATGAATATATCAAAAACACCCTAATTGTTCTACAGTGAAAGTTTGATAATTTTTATGACAACCACTTTTGTGCTGTGTGTGTGAGTATTTTGAAGTTTCCAGTGCAATTCAACAAATATTGTTTTGTATTTTTATCACTTCAGTGTTAAAAATAAACTAGGTGGGTATCTACTTGTTTACACATTTTGCTCCAACCTACGATAGAATAATAATTGCTTTGGAATTCTGGTTTTCGAATCGACTGGTTCAGATACCATGTAATCCATTAATATTCTTGATAATTGGTGCATGATTGCGTAATAATCGAATAATAATCGATGATCAACTGCTATATTAAGGTGCGTTTTTCGAGTTCATCATACTCATGATGACTTCATGTAATCAGTAGCTAATCAATTGAGTATATGGAATTCTAAAAAAATATTGTTTTTCTGCAACCGACACAAAAGTGGTCCATTTTGATACCAAAATTAGCTCTTAAATTGACGTTTTTATTACTAACACAAAAATAGGTATGTTGCTAGGCAACATATTTAGTTCCTAGGAGCTAAAGTTAAACTTTAGCTCCTAGGAACTAAAAAGGAAGTACTGAACGTCATCAAGAATGAACAACATTGTTACGGTTGGTTATTTGGGCTAAGATGCATACCTGATTTGTTTCCGATTTCGGCAGATTTGGCAATTCATACCCATGCTGGAGATATAAAATACACCTTATTATAGTTAAGTATTGGAATTATAAACTTATAAACATCTCAGTTAAGTATTTTTGTTTTGATCAGGGAAGCCTTCAAGATTCAAATACTTGCTGGATCTGTATTTCATTCGTTATTCTCGGGATGGATAACTTGTTTTTGAATAATCACGGCAAGCAATAGTTTTTGTCTCAAACAACGATATTTGTTTACCTCTATTTGATTATCAAGTCAAACACAGTGTAGTATGAAGTGGAATGAATAATCGATATTATTATTGTTGATATGCCTACTAACCTAACATTTTCCACGTCCTGTTCCTATACCTGGCACTGGCGCGGTATTTGCCATTAGAGCGAGCACCTGGTCCATACACAAATATATCACTCTGTGGTTGTATTTATATTGAAACTACAATCCGAACATCCTTGAAAATTGAATAAACCTGCTGTTAATGCAGATAGAATATTCTCACCACACGAATTTTGTTGCCTTGCATACATATGGCATGGCTGGTGGTTACTTCACATATTCATTTGAGTTAATTGTTTTGGTTGCAGAAAAATATCATGTTTCATTCGGATCAAAAGTGACTTTTTTGACTCGCAAATTTGTCAAACAAAGTGTCCCTCTTGATCCTAATAAAACAATCTACTATTTATTTTCAGCTAATGAAACACAAGAAGATTATCAAAATTATTGTATCTCACGTCCAACAAACATAAATGTTATTTGTAATGCACTGTATGTAAGCCTTATTCAATGTTGCATCTCCTCTAGCTGTCTTTTTTCTTCAGTTCAACCATAAACGAAGCATTAATATTGAATCTTGCACGGGAGGAATAAAAAAAATCGTTCGGTAAAAGACAAGCTTGCATTTAAACGATCTGTTTAAATATTTACAGTTTACTCGGTCTGAAGCCTGGCTGGTAAATTGGCGTAGAAAGTAAACAAACTGATACGAATGGAATAAAAAAAAATTGTGAGATGCGTTTCTAAATATACGGATGATACACTGGGTATTTAATATGTTCTGTCAAGATATATTGAATGAGAATGAGTAATAGAAATAACTGAAAAATGAATACCAATTACGACTTGCTTCGCCAAAATGTAAAAAATAATTTGCAATTTTTAATTAATAATAGGTTTCCTAACAGAATTATCGAAAATGTGAAATAATCCTAGGCGAATATGTATGGGAACTATTTTGCTCCAGAATTTAGTGGAGTATCTGAAAATGCTCTCATTCTTACTCACTCTATAAAGGGTGATTCCGAGGGTGATTCATTAAGAATGGGCAAATCTTCGAACTAGAGATAGTTACACACCAAAATATGAAAATCCAGCCATGACTAATAAGAATGTTGCTGGTTTAGAAGATACAGGGTGTTCAAGGGGAAGTTTTTATTTTGAAACTTCCCAATATCTTTGACATCATATGAACATGAAATTTTGTAGTTTTAGGTTATCTGACATGAGGAATACGAATTTGTAACTTATTTTGTGATTGCTCATAGAGGGAGCTAGTGGCACTCTGTTACCTTGGTGAATTACATCATTATCTTTTTTGTCCGTTGAATGATGATCAAAATGAGTCGAAAATCTGAAAGCCCGTCCAATTTAACATAAAAAATGAACTCTTTTTCAGATTGTCTAGCTCTAAATAATAACGATTTTTGCGAGGGTTACTACTATAGTTTCTATTTCTGTAGTGATTTGCAAATAGGAAACTATTTCTTTGGAATTTACAAAATTCAGTATTCAAAAAGATCCGTTTCATG